AATGAATGACAAACGCAAGAATTAAATATAAGAAATTAAATGTATTTACACAATAATACAATGGGTAATACTGTTAGTAAATCCAGGAACGCGGTTAGTAATAATAATATATATATATATATATATATATATATATATATATATATATATATATATATATATATATATATAGTCTCGTAGTCGGACTTCCTTAGAGTCTACGTGCTTGTAACTGACTTCTACAAGCGGTTACCTCACACTATTACTCTACCTCCAACTCAATCACAATCTCTGCTCACTCTCCGATCACTCTCTCTCTCACTCTCTCTATATATTCTGACTGACTCTGGGTATTTAACGGCAGCAGTCCAAGTAACACTCTGGTCGAGTTCACATATGAAAAAGGGGAGGACCCCATAACAGATAGATATACATTAACAGAGATAGATACATAGATACATAGACAGACAAATGCATATATTAACTGAGATAAACATATATATATATATATATATATATATATATATATATATATATATATATATATATATATATTATCTTCCTGGTGTAACGGTTAAAAATTGTCCAAACTCTTTTAACATCATGCGATAATTGCCCATCCTAAAAAATGTTTTATAATTCAAAAAAAAAAAACTAAACAAATTGACCTTCTTTTTTCAGGTTTTTCTGATAAGACGTTCAACTATCTTGAATCCATTTGTCATAAAAATCACTGAAAAACCCTTTGAATAATCCAACGAGAAAGGCAACAGGTTAAAATCATTTTTTATCAGCACTACTATGTCTTTCCAACCAAGCAATTGTGAGAAGAAAAAGATTACTCAGGCCTTCAGTAATGGTACCAATATTCATAATTTTGGCTTCCATTTTCAAAGTCCATTCAAGATCCATCAAAAGAAAGGAAAACTGGATCAGGAGGTCACAACAGGAAGAGTGATCATTATTCCAACTTAGCGTTAAATGTATTCTTATTGTGCAAAGTAGAGTTCAATCAGTGTTATAAAAACGTCGAAGTGTTCCAGTAAGATATCTTTAATCATTTCTTAGATACAATGGTTAAAATCTTAATCTAACCATTGGACAATTTTTCTGTTACACCTGGTGTGTCTGTGTATTTTTATTTACTATCACAGCAGTTCGCATCCACTTGCACACAGACCCGCACACATACACACGCGGACACAAACACACCCACACATCCACACTTACACACCACACACAGACACATCATCTAAATTTGAATTCTTGCACATAAACACAACATAAATCTTCAGTAGATACAATGAAGGAACCGGTTTCATTGATCCTATCATGAATTGAGGGCGGAAACGAGAGAACAAATGAAACAAATACGTGACATAGTATGCAGAAAACTACCCTTTTTTTTTATAAGAGGTCTATCTTTTATCTTATGAAGGGTAACGGGACATCTCTGCCCTGACAATATAGCTATTTTGGGCAAAACAAGTAAGCGGATTTTCATTTCATCTATTTTGATCTGCTTGCCAACGACGTAAAATGACTGTAATCTTAGCGTTTGTTTTGCTCACTGTGACTTCACGACAATTCTCCGGCTCACTACGCCCTGAGCATCCGGCTGTTCCTGGCCGAGAAGAACATCGTTATGTAGAAACAACCCTCTATTCATTGATCATTTGGTAACGTGTGACTGTGTTTTTTTTCTGCATAAGTTGAATATTTTTTATCAAGGGATCAGTTTTGAAGGCGTGTTGGAATCAAGAATCCTGCTATTTTAACATTGCTGGAGCTGAGAGACAAGAAAAGGATTTCTTCTGTAGCAGTGCATTAAAACGTGGCAGAGAACTGGGATTCTGTAAAAGTCCATTAGAAATGATTAAAGGATATTAATTGAAAGGAGAAGGTTTTATGTACTTGTTGTTTTGAATTGAAATAAATTGTTTGTGATACGAGTACCGATAGCTTTTCATACAGAGATTTCAGACATCTTATAATATATATATATATATATATATATATATATATATATATATATATATATATATATATATATATATATTGGATACAATATCCTACATTTCGGAATAAATTCAATAACCAACAAAACAATTCTTAAAGGAGTGCTAAATACAGAGTAAATCAATTATAATAATTTATTCGAAAATTGAAAAATAAATATGTTTTAAAATCAATTTTCAACACTTCACGTGTTTTGTAGGTCTCACAAGAATGAAAGGGGGACTGTTTTAGAGTTACTCATGAACTAAAAATTATTTCATTTGGGATTTTGTGTGTGATTCATATTGTGTAATTGTGTGAAATTTTGCTTTGTGTTTTTTATATAGAGCTCTCCCTGAAAATATATTTTCCTGAAAATTTCCAAACGGATAACCATATTGTATTATTGTCCCCCACACACTTTTTATATATTTTTTGATTCGGAATACCTTTTAAAAAGGTAAGACAATTGTTTCTAATCAAAATTTATTCTCTGGGTAAATAGCAGGACAGACCGGGTTGTTTTTGTTTTGTTCTGAATTCTCTGTAAAAAAAAAAAAAAAAATTTTTAAGATTATAATCAAATTATATAAATGCGAATCTTTCTGGTTTTTTTTTCAAGTCTTTATGATGGTCGAATACTTGATCTATCTATATATATATATATATATATATATATATATATATATATATATATATATTAAAAAAAATAGTTTTCTTGTGCTATATTTAAAGGATAGAGTTCTCAAGATCAAATAGAGCGTATATAAATATAATTATAGATGTAACCTAATCAAAACTCACGAGGCGACATTACTGTTTCTTCCTAGACACAATCATCAGTGACCTAATTTTTTCGTCTACTGTTGGTCGCTAGTTCACCTAGCTTTGTTATATATATATATATATATTTATATATATATATATATATATATATATTTGACCCCATGAAGGTGAGGAATCGCAAAGCTTATCAGTATCTGAGGTGGTTAACAAACGCAAATACTTTCTTCAAATATAAAGGCATGAACCCTCCTTTTACATTTAAGAGGCCAATTGTGTTGGAAATATTGGCACAAAATGTCACTTGTCTTCTTTGTCCACGCCTTACACAACCAACTGTATTGCAGGATAGTTTTCAACTTGGATGTAATAAAACAAAACTCGCCGAAGAGAGGCCGAAGAAAATATCAAAAATGTCCTTCTATTTTAATAGCCAAAACTCATTATTTACTATCATAATTACTATTTTAAAAAAATCTTAATTATCCTCTGGGAACATCAAATTCTAATAGGTTTTTTTATTGGCGGACGCAAATTTAATATGAGATATGGTGATGGAATTGCGTTGATTGCTGACAGTAAGAAAACTGCAAGATCGCAAAAGAGATGAAAAGTAAAACTTTCATATTTAATTTTATTTATGGGGAGTGGATAAGATACAATCAGAGAAATTAAAGACGTCAAAAAAAACGGACCTTCAGATAATCGAATCGTGTCCCTTCTGGACGTTGGGGATCATGGCTCTCCACAATTTCTTGTCCCTTGAAGCCCGTAGTAAATTTTGACTTATTGCTATCTCTCAAAAACCTTGTTCAGCTAACCATTTTCACAAGTTAGGTAGGTTATGTACAGTTCTCCGCTGTTTCTCTTGCCTTTAATATGTCCAGTGAGTGTTAAACTTTCCAAGCCGTCTTCCCTCATTATGTACCCGAGAAATTTCAGTTGTCTCTTTCGGATGTTAAGGATGTGTTGTTTTTGTAAAAAATTTTCTCTAAAACTTCGTCATTGCTTACATGTTCAGTCAAGGGTACCGTCTGCATTCTTTTGTAGAACAACATTTTCTTGTATCATGTCTCTTCTTCATCTGTGAGGTGATTGTCCAGCATCCATTGCTAAATAGGAGGACTGACATTACATAACACTTCTCTAATCGTTTCTTTGTTTCTTACGAAATTTTTCAGTTTCGTAATACTTTGCTTAGCTTCTGGAAGACATTTCTCTACCCAAATGAGCCCTCGGATTTCGGTGTAGCAATTTCCATATTAAAGCACTTCCCAGACTTTTTCGCTTTTGTACTGATTGATTCCGGTGTTTTCAATTTGGAAGTCGCACGTTGGGCTCTTCTTTTGACTGGCAACCATCTTTTCTTACAGCGGAGCATTAGTCCTTTCTTCTCGTTTCCTTTTAATAATATCTGTAGGAATTCCTGTAGTTTCCTTATTGTGTCTGCTATCAACACTGTGCCATATGCATGTGTAATGTTGTTAAGATCGTGGCTGCCAATATGAATCCTGGTAGGACTTCAAATTCTTTCAAAATCGACAAGAGAAATTGTGACATAGAAATTCAAAAACATTTTAGAACAGGTAACATTACTTTCTAAAAGTCAAAATATTAAGAAACAGGAAAATCACGTTAGGAAAAAAAAAAGAAAAAAATGGGCTATTTTGATATGTAATTATTTTTTCTTCTACAGCAGTAAATGCTAGAAATTTTCTTCACTCATGTATATGGTCCTTTGTATGACGATGGTATGACATAAACGTCCTGGAGGTTTTTGAGGAGCTTGGAACAACCTCTTAATCGCTGGTGTTCCCAGATTCACCCTGACCTGGGGTGGTAGCAACAGTTAGGGTTCCAACTATGGAATAAATATTTAACTGGTGTTCCTTGGGTCAAACACAATGAAAGTGCAAAAATAGGTTTTGTTAGGGCAATAAATTTTTGAGGAAAAATATTTTAACACATTTTTGAAGAAAAAAATTTATGAAATAAATAAATTTTTGAAGGAAAAATTTATTACCAAAATGCTTTTTTGAAAAAATTATTACCAGCAATAAAAATCTTTTTAAATAAAATGTTGATTTTGAAAAAAAAATACAAGGAAATAGTTAGATAGATAAAAAGATAGATAGATAAATAGATTTTTAGTGCAAAAAAAATATTACCAGTAATAAAAATTTTGTCGGCATTAAATAACCCATTGAGGTTGATACGCCGTGAAACAATCCAAAACAAACCAATATATACTGAGATAGATAGATAGATAGATAGATAGATAGAAAAATATTACCAGCAATAAAAATCTTGTCGGCATTAAATAACCCATTGAGGTTGATATACCGTAAAAACAATCCAAAACAAACCAATATATACTGAGATAGATAGATAGATAGATAGATAGATAGATAGATAGATAGATAGATAGATAGATAGATAAAAACTATTACTAGCAATAAAAATCTTGTCCGCGTTAAATAACCAATTGAGGTTGCTATGCCGTAAACCAAACCAAGCCATTCACTCATGAAGAAAAGAACTTGGAAGATACTGAGAATACGATGTACGGGACACGTGAGCAATGGAGAAGTTTGAATTAAATTGAAAGCAAAAAGGACAATAATTACAGACAGAAAGAGAAAGTGGAACATTCTGGGACACATACAACAGAATACAAAAAAATCTCGAATAATTTTCCACCCATAGTGCATACTGAAGGCCAGAGAAACAGAAGAACATTATCAATAAGATACGTTACAAGTCTGTGTAAATTGATAACAGGACAGAGACTAGTAGTGTTGGTGTGGACAAAATATTGCTTAAAGACTGAAAACATGGGAAGTTGTGGATAACGCTGATCACCCGTGTACTGAAGTGACATGGCAGATAGGAAAAGAAGTATACGTTGTATACGTTAAATTCAAGAAGATTCAGTCCCGGCAATGCTTGGCCGTGCTATAAGCAAAGTTTAACATCGAGTGAATAGAAAAAAAAGAAAAAATCTAGAATTAACAATAGGCACAGCGAGTAAATATTTTTGTAGAAGAATTACACTGGTCAACACGATTTTTGAAGCAAAGAAACAAAAGATATTTTTAAGCTAATTTGATGGTCCTGATTCCGAAAATTAACATAGTTTTTCATGGTTAGCTACCGTTCTAGCTGTACTGAAATTGTTCATTTTTGGAAAAAAAAATCCAATTGATGATCTTGGCTGATCGCAAAATTGAGTTAATGACGGTTGTAAAAATCCATCAATTTTCAGGTAGGCTGAGCAATTTATGCCAGCCACCTGAAATAAACTATTTTCATAAGTGTTTTTGAGTCAAAGATTTTAAAATAGATGTAGGGAAGTTTTCGAATTTATCGCAAAAATTCAAATTAACTGATAAATTTTATGAGTAGTACACTTTAGTAAACCTGATAATTAAGGTGGCATAAAAAAAAAAAATGAGACCTAAAATCTTCTGTTTCATATTCATAAATTTATCCTATCACTCCGGAAGTAAACCAATCGACATTAAAAACATTTTTTTCTCACAGTTGGAAAAAACTCCAACTAAAGACATCCCAATTGAATGCACCTATTCCATAATACATGATACTGCTGGAGTATCAAAAGGGACTTAAATAACATTGAACATGACAGACAATCCAAAAATAGATTTTTTTTACCATAGGTCTTATGCTCACGAAGGTTTTATTTCTGATTTTAATTTATTGAATGACTTGATTGGAAATATTTGGGATATTCAATCGTTTTACTTTTAAAGACTTAGGCTCTGATTGTTATTGCAAAAATATTATTTCTCAATATGCAGACAATATTTGTTGGTGTAAATACGAATTGAGACGTTTCTACCATTTTATTTTGAGAAATATTGCCATCGACCAATATTATATATACAGAAAACAGATGAAAACATCTTTTTCTCCCAAAAAAAAAGGCAGATTCTCTTCAGCAAAAAAAGTAGCTAAAAGAAAAGTAAGGTCATCTTTCAGATTATCATCCTTTTGTTTACGGTGAAGTAATTAAATGTTTGGTGTCTATATTTTAGAAAATTTTTGAGTGTTAAATTCTGCAAGTAAGCTGTCCTCAATTCGTGTTCCAGGATTAAAAAGTGTCACTCTCTAAAGGTTAGCAATAGTTTAATTGTAGTTCTTTTTACCATAAATAATTATTATTCGGAACGTCTGCGTCTTGAAGAACATCTTTCCTGCTGAATTCAGCGAAACTCTTACGAACAGTTCTCTCAGTCTATGGGTTGCAATATCCATAAATGGCAAAATAGGCATTTTAAAAAAAAAGCATCTTTTTTTTAGAAATGCAAAAAAAAAATTATCAAGTAACGAAATTTTTTTTTTTTTTTTGTTTTTTTATTTTTCGTCCATTTTTCCTTTAAAAAAAGAAATTAAACTGAAAGAAACAACACGAATCATTGAAATAAAGCAGAAATGTTCCTTAACAAATCGAAATATAGATGGAAATTAATTATTATTTGCTTGGGTAAATTTATTTTACTTGTTTTTTCTATATTATTTTGTTTATAAAAAAAGTTTTCGATTTTTAAGTAACGTAGTAAAAATTTGTTTTCTTGTCTGAATTTTGAGATGAGCTAATGCTAAATAAAACGATCGCGGCTCAGTAAAATAAGCGACCTATGCAAATCCTCCAGCCATAATTTTGTTTTACGACGTTAATAAAACATAGAAAACCGAAAAGAATAAATAAATATATAA